CCCGCGTGCAGCTTGGCCGTGATGTTCAAGCGGCGGGTGACGGCTTTCTTGTGCCATTTTCACTTCGCGCCTGTACCAAGGGGCACTGCTTTATCTCCATTTGTTGAGGCCCTCCTCTGCCTCAGGGGTGATGTTTTGTCACGAAGCATCGCCCTGAGGCAGCGTGGAGCCTCAGCTCCGCGCTGTCGGCCACTCGTGCGGCTGCTACCTCAGCTGCTGTTTGGGAGGTTCGAGTCGGGTTCGAGTGCAAGCTCTTCTTTGTCAGATGCTCAGATTAAGGCCGGTGGTGCTGCCTTCCCTGTGCTCAGAACTCAGCTACAAGAGCCAGGATAAGAGAAATTCGTGCGTGCGCATCCGCGCCTCAGGAAGGGATCAGCTACCTGCTGGCCGCAGTCGCCGCGAGGCCAGCTACATCTGCACATCTGAGTAGAATGATTCGTTGCTGTGCTTTACTAGCAGAATCAATTAATTTGTGGAACCATAATCCGCTTGACTGCTGGCAAGGCATTGCACTGTCGGACGTTGTGTGGCTGCGCTGCATGATTATCCCTGTGCATCCTGAAACAAAGTGAAGGACTGTCTAATTTGATTGCAAAAACTGCACCCTCGAAGTGCCCGGATGATATGGTAGCCACCGGACTAGACCCGAAGTCGCATCAGTCTTCCAATGAAAATCGCTCGTGGCAGCAGGCGCAGCGTGGGCAGCCGGACTGCAGTTTTTTTTGGGAGGGTTTTGTATAGGGTGTCTTAATTTTCAGAACGGAGTTTGAGGGCACATTATAGTTTCTGTAGTTTTTAGTGCTTCGGCGTTCAGGTCTTTAGGGCTTTAAGCCTTATGGGGTTCAGGAGTTAGAGTTTACTGTTATGGATGTTTAGGGAGCTTTACCATGTTTATTAGGGGGTTGTCATCTTGCCCATGGCTGCCTGGGTTTTCAATCGTTGCCATGGACCCCTCTACCCGGGCTGTCTACGGGATTCAATTTCTGACGAGTAGATTGCTGGCACCAGCGAAGAGCGAATCCCATGTTCTCGAGGATGTTTTGACTAACGCCTGCTAGCCCGTTCTTCCCTCGGATCGCAGTCTCGCAAAACCGTTGGAAAAAGTGTCATGTATTGATCAGGCTCCTTTGTTTGCCCCTTCCTTGCACGAAAACTTAAGCCTCACATCACCCAATAATATCTCATGTGGATCAGCAGTTTTCCCTGAACTGAAGTTCTGCTTCAGGCGTGGGGTATTCGGATGTTGCTTTGCATAGAGCCGCGGATGGCCCCAACGGAATGGAGACCTCATTTGTAGAAGAAGTATCTCGCAGCAAGATACCATAGTCGGGAAGTCTTGTTTCTGCTCCCTACAGGAAGCTGGCTTGTACAGTCGGACGTGTTGATGTAGTCGAAACTTTCGAAGAAGACATAAGAGTTCATCCACCGCTGACGGATGTTGGGCTTGAACTTTGGTACGCCTTCGAGGCGCTTCACCAAGACGGGCACGTGCAGCAGCTTGGTTGACTTGACAACCTATCGTTATTTTCATGGTCGTGGGTTCTCTTTCAAAAGTCCCACAAAGTGGTGGGTGTGTCTATTGGATGCCGGGTCTGTTGTGATTGATGACATTCCACGTCTCAAGATCGGATAGGTACACAAGGGGGGGCCAAAATCATCGTGAGCGTGCAAAACGCAAGAACCAAATCCTTCAAAGCCTTTGAGTCAGAAGTCTCCCCTAAGCCATCGAACCGTGTCATCTTCTGTTCCTACTAGTGAAACTCCCATCCCTGATAGCAAAGAGTTCCAACAAAAAACAACGTCATACTGCACTAAACAAGAGGAGACTTACACCCTAAACCATGAACCCAACAGCAGGCGGACGACCCCCAGCCTACCCTCCTAACACAAAGGGGCTTAGGCTCGCAGCTCCGAGGGTTAGGGTTCTTTAACCCGCTCATAGACATGTTTTGGGGCTCATCGGTATGTGTCAAGGCTTTAGTTTAGGTGTTTGGGGTTTTGATATTTGGGTCTAGAGTTCTTTAGAGTTTATTTGTCCAGGGCTTAGGGTCTAGTTGCCCTCCCGGCTGCCAAATTCTTGGCAGGATCCCAACCTTCCTGTGTCTGAAAATACGGGTATCAGGAGGTCCTTTACCGAGGCCTTCATGCGGCATAGTTACCACCCTAAACCCATCTAAACCCTAAACCCTGTTAAGATTTGCCTGTGCTCAATTATGGGAACACAGGAAGCCGTCTCCCCGGTCCGTGAGCGCGACGGTGGAGTTCGGCTCTAGACGTCTGGATAGATTCTAAATTGTGCCAGTGTTTTTGACAGGTGCCTGACAGAGCAGACAGCATTCCTGAGCTCCGAAAACCTGAGGCCCTGAATCTTAAACTGCACTCCAGCATCAGCAGGTTGCTGCGGCCGTGCCTTCTTCAGAGCCCGGCTCCGAACACGTCAATGTGAAATCGTTGGGAAAAGTCCGTCATCAGCTCGAGCAGTTGCGGTTTGAGGGTCACAAGCACTTCAAGCCAGCTTACCAGTCTTGTGGACCCTGAGCCTTGAGCTTTGACTCTGCGAGTCTGAAATGTAGCCTCTCTCGTCCCTGAGTAAAGTACCTTTGATATCTTCAGGCTGTTGAGCTGTGCAAGAGCTGAGAACCATGCGTCAAATTCAACGGCAAAGCGGCGTTCTGTGGAAGACAACAAAATCATTGCAGTGGTTGGCTCCAAGCGGCACACAAATCAGATTACACCAATCGAGTTTAAGGATCCGTGAACAATCTGCATGATCACGTTAGGCAAAGGAGTGAAAGAAAAAAGTCATGTTGTTTAGCAAGCCTGATGCACGTCTTTTGCCAGTATCATTTACCCGAGTGAATCGCTGATCGAAGTTATTGCAAGCTTCGTTTTGCAAAGCTTACTGCAGCAATGTCAAATCTCCCGGCGCTGCTTCGGTGCCTTCTTCGCGGCTCCCTGCCGCTTCACGTAGAGTTTCGTAGACTTCAGATGACTGTGTTTTGGATTTGTGTGGAGCGTTCGGTGTTTGTGATATGGCAGAGTCTAGCTTTTTCTTGGCCTAGGGTTTGCCTGTAACGAGGCTTTTGGTGCGCTTCTTGCACGAATCTGGGCCTACACAGCTTCCGTTGCCCAGTCTGCGTACAGCTTGAATTCTTGCGTGTGATGTAAGCTTATTGTTCAATGCTTTGTTTTTCATGACACGCACGGCAGGCTTGAGAGGGACTCCCTTCGTTATGCATATCTGTATATATAAACATGTCTATAGATAGATGGATGGATAGATTGATAGATAGATAGATAGATAGGTAGATAGGTAGATAGCTCGATTGGAGTGTCATGTTTGAGAGACCCAGTGAATCCTGCTCAGGATCGTCAGGTTTTGTCTGATTGAAATTAGAGGATTGCTTGAGGCAGTTGTGAGTTTCAAAACAGAATTAGTTTGGTGCTTCTGCAAAGGTGCCAGCCTTTGTCCGGGACTCGAAAGCAGGTTTGTCGACAAGGGTTTGGTGTGCCGCTGGTGTTTAGATGCGCTAACGGCCTGGAGCGTCTTGGGTTGGGGTTGAGGATATGGGCATTTGGGGCTAGGGCTTGAAATGTTGGGAGCGGCTTCAGTGTGCACCTGCATCGACGCTGTTAGACAGTTCGGACCCGATCCAGACCATTTCTTGGTGACTTATTGTTGCGAGGTGGCGCCGGTCTGAAAGTCGTTTGACGTCAGGCACATGTGCAAGGATAGTCACGTGAAGCTGCTCTACCTCTAAACCTTGCAGTAAGGTTCCCGGTGCCTTCAGGCGCTACAACAGTACAGGAAAAGAAGACTGGTAGAGCATTGTACAAAAGTTTGGAGAATACTCTCGATCAGCAATGGCTTCATCAGCTGCTAGCATCATCATTTTCTCTAGCGGTGTGACCACCAGGGAAGACGTGCCCGAAATGTTGTGTATTCCAAGCCAGTGGCTTTGCTCTTCACAGTCAGCAAATGTGCTGGGCGTGTTCTGATTCCCGATGACTTCGTGTAACGCGCTGTCTGTGTCGACTCAGGGTCTACGGGCTGGGGGCTTGCAGAACCTCTATACCCTAAATCCTGCACCCCAGACTGTTTGCCCTCTGGTTTAGACCCGCGAATACTATGGCTTCAAAAAAGCAGCAGCGAGACGTTGATGGAAGGCATTAGTCAGGAGCCTGCCATTCTCGGGAGCTCAGATGCCCTCATAAGACAAAGCAGCAGAAGAAGCCACAGTGACGCCTACCAGTCCTACAACGTAACCGTAACCCAGAACTGAAACCCTAAGCCTCGAAATGTAGGTAGGAAAGTCCTTCCCCCAACTTAGACGCGAAACCTGGCATCTGCAGGAGGCTGCTGGCATGAGCTTCTGACGGCACTAGAGTAACAGCAGTGGCAGGAGGATTAAAACCCGAGGCCCAGAACCTTTAATCCCCGAAAGCCCTGAACCTTAAACCCTCAACCGTTGCGACGGGCATGTCGGTGCCAAGAATGTTCTTGGCTTGCCCCTGAGCTTCCATCTCGCAAGAGCAGAAAATTCAGTGCTGGGGCATGCACCCATACAGTAGTGGCCTTTGTTGTCATCCTTATGATAACCCTTACGGTGGCCCTGAAAAAGGCCATGCGGTAACCCTGAAAGTAATGCTTGTGGTTCGTGGATTCGGGTCCGCATGAAGGGCATCACTGTAGTCACCCTTGGGGCACCTCTTCACCTCCAGGATCCAGATCTGCCGCTACCCCCGGCAGGCCATCGTCACCATCCGATTTTCTCCATGAAGCAAAGGCTGTGTTTCGATCCTGAACGACCACATCTTCGGTAGGATGCAATCAAACAGTGACATCCTCCAGCCCGTAGCTTGAAGCCGATCTTGAAGGTACTCCGACAGTTCACACCCCTCCCATGTGCGCCTACTGCTTTGGAAATTTCGCTGAAGGAATCCGCACCAGCGGCAGCTTTGGCTCACTCGGGACAGCGTGCTTGGTAGCGTAGTGCGTCATGGGCACAATTTCGCGGGTCGTGACTTGGGGGTCATGGGCTTTGGCGATTTGGCTCCTGGGATTTCAAAGGAGCCCCTACCAAGGAGGAAGTTCCTTTAGCAACCGCTTGGAGAAGTCTCCTTTGGACGACGGGCTCGCGTCCAACCGGGCACTTCGGACCTTCCGCTGCGTTGAGTGGCTAGGTTCCCAAAAAGGCACCCATTTTGCCCTTTTGCTTTCTGGGTTCTATTGTTCTTGCAAGTGGTAGGAAGAACGCTACCCTTACTTTTAGAGGGCTACTGGACAAAACCGAGGTGGGGCATTGATGTGCCGTTGATCATGTGCATTTCTGGCCACTTCATTCTTGGGCATCCCCTGAGGGATATTACTCGGCCCTTTCTTCTCACCAGTTTCTACGTCATCCTCTGCTGGGTGGCCTGCGAAACCAAGTCTGCAGGCATGAACTGTCCTAAACCCTAAAGCCTAAACCGAAAACCCTCAACCGCTGCAGGCATGAAGTGGAGCTCGGTGATGCTATGCTTCTTGATGTCCACCGGCGCAGCGCGCGACATCTTGAAGTGGTGCTCCGCCTTTGAGGAGCAGGCCCCGAAGGATCTGCCCAATCGAAGCACCCGGCCGAAGCTGGTTCAGGTACTGCTGCTGCTAAGTTCCCCAGTAGTACCCTTTTGCGCTTTTTCTCTCTGGGCTCCCTGATGAAAAATAAATAGTACGGAAAAGGGTACCCCTATTCTTAAGGGGCTACTGGGGAACCCAGGCTATTTTATGCTGGATGTTGCATTGCCTTCCTTCTGCCCATCTTTGGGATCAACTTTAACCACGGAGATGTGAAGTGCTGCTTTCTGTTCACCTTCGGGGCAAAGTGCAGCTGTATCGTCTACTTGGTGTTGATGTCCGGCGAGTATCACAAGACCTTGACGGACTTGCTTTGGAAGGCTGATAAATCTAGGGTTTAGGATTATGATATTCAGAGATGACCGAGAGGGTCCCTGTCTACTGCCAATATGAAATTAGCTCCCAGAAGACCATCCTTATTATGGCTTCGGGAGGTAGTTCCATAATCGTGGTTATACATGGACCCTCTTGATAATCAGAACTGTCATGTTTAGTGTTCCTTAGCCAGTGCAATATGTCACCGCAACAAAAACCCTGCAGTATGTAAGGCCATATGAGTAGACAGTTTGACTAACTTGCTTCGTAGCTGAAAAGGTAACCTTAGGCGGGATTCCGGGTGCTGGGACTGGCCAGGTGAGGGCAAACTTGGGCATGACATCGATCCTGCCCGCCAGCTTCGACATGCTGCCCTGCACTCTGGATACTTCTGGCTGCAGGCCAGCAGTTGCGGAGATGATAGCAACAACAATTGCTGACCATCTCAGTCTTATCAAGAGCTATCAACCCTGAACCTCAAAGCCTGAGCTCCCATCCCTAAAAGCTACACCCGAAACCCTGAACTCTCTAAAGCCCATCCCCCAACACGCAGACCCCTGAACCCTGTTAACATGTGCAGGAGAAAGATGGCACTCATAAGAAAGGAGAACTTCTCGACTCTACACCCTACCTATAGTCTCCATTGTAGTTCCTTTTTGAGGTTTAACCGATCTTTCTTTTGGATCCTATGAGGCAACCCCCAAGAAAGGGACTATAATGGAATCTGCACCCTCACCCCCAAACCCTCAATCCGAAACTCGAAAACTCTGGACCACTCTAGATTGGAGTGCAGGCTGCCGGCAAGCTGCTCGGGGGATATGTCCAAGTTGGAGAGCATGGAGAGCATCTTGATGAGGCTCACAGCGTTCTTTTAAAAGGTTTAGCGGGGTGTTAGCACATGGGTTGTTCTAGGGAATAAGGATCTTCATAATAATGACCATATGTTGGAGCGACCTAAACCCCGCAATCCTAAACCCTAAGCCTAAGCCTAAGCCCCGAATCTAATCAGGGTCATATTGGGCAAACCCTGCACCCGAAACCCTACACCCCCTAAAGCCTCAAACCCTAAACCCTCGAGCCTAAACCCCGAATCCCAAGCCCTACCGTCAGAAAAGAGGCCAGTGGCGGGCGCAGACCTCAAGGACCGACCAAGAGCTACTATAGGGGGCGCAGTCACTAGGATAGGGTTCCGGTCAAAGGGCTCTTCGCAAGGGATCTAGAGGAGTTTACAGGGTTGTGAGGGCCTGAATAATTGGAATAGGGTCGTCGAGGTAGGTTATGGTAGAATTGGGAAGGTGTCAAGAAGGGGATACTTTAGATTCTGGATTCTGGAATACACGGTCGAGGGGATGCTATGAATAATTGCTCCAACCTCTTTATTAGGAGGTTAGGAAATCAGGGTTAATGATTCAAGAATTTAGGACTATGCCCCGTTATGTTATATACATGAATAACAAGGAGTTCCTGGCCAACGCGGAGGCAAAAACCGACTTTGAGGCCTACGCGCACAACCTCATTCGCCAAGTTGATTCACAGCAGACCTTGAAAAATGCCACACTGGCTCTGCAAGGTGTCCGCACCGTCCAGGGTAGAGCCATGGCTCACATGGCCCAGGTGGGGAGTCTTCAACTCTGAGCTTTGTGTTTGGGGAGTAGATTCTCAGGATCCTAATAGTTTTATAAGGGATGTAGGGAGGGCCCTGTAGGGACCATTTTGAGGGATCCCTTGCTGTTTCTAGAAGGGTTGCATGAGGGATTGAGGGTTTGCGGTTTAGGGTTTCTGAAAGCCCCCAGGTGCTGCGCAGCCAGATGCTTGCATCCGGCACGAGCATGAACATCACATTGCGCCTCTCCGTGGTGCCCCCGGCGACTTTGGCCAAAGAGTGCCAGCTGATTGCGGCTATCCGGTTTGCCGTGCCAGAAGCTTGCGCACAATCTGAGCCAGAGGCAGAGCCACGTTTCGAGACCTTCTTGACCGAGAAGGCTTCAAACCCCCCCAAATCCTAGATCCCGCACCTTGAATCCCAAGAGAACATTGTGGCACAGGTGCAGGTCTTCGTCAGAACACTGACGGGCAAGACCATTACCTTGGATGTTAAGACAACCGACACCATCGACAATGTGAAGGCAAAGATCATTGACAAGGAGGGCATGCTAGTATACCATAGCATACTGTATACTACTATCGTATACTATAGTACATAGGGTTTAGAGTAGAGGTGTTCTTCTCCTGCTAGGGTTGTAGTGTAGGACCGCTGCATCCCGTTATAATGTTCACTGCATGGGCCCAGTATGCTTGGCTTGTCACCTCCCCACACTGGACACGTGTGGGAAAAGGAGGGCATCCCACCATGCCAGCAGCGCCTGATCTTTGCCGGCAAGCGGCTCGTCAACGGGAGCACCCTGCACCTGGTGCTGCGCCTGCGCGGCGGCACGCGTGCCTTGACTTCATGAGCTGCAGAATCGAGCCTCTGCTCAGCTACCCCTGTCCGCCTACTCCTGTCGGAAGATACTTGGGTTAAGCCGTCTTTAAAGTCATCACAGACACTGCTTTGAGGCCACAGGTGGTGCTTCCACCTGGTGGCCGGGGACTCGGCTGATACAAACTCCACCGTGCTCAAGGGGACTGAAGACAAACCAACGCTACACCATTTCCTGACCTCACAGGTCGCCTGCGCCGACACGCTTCGCAGGGCCTTGGAGGTGGGGCGACCGTCAAACGCAGGAGCTGATTGCCATGCTGCAACCTTGCAACAGTATCAGCTTCGAAGTGCAAGAAGCCTAAACCTGGAATTCAAGCCTCAGGGGGGTCTGGGTCACTAAGTTTTAGCCTGCTTACTTTGGGGGACCTTATGTTGGGGGCCCTCGGGAGACTGCGGAAGACCAGAGTGAAGCATGCCATACCTCCGAAGAGCATAGTACATGCTCGGCCATAGAACTTCGGCAAACACCGGTCATCTGTTTGCACAACGAAGCCCGCAGTTTGCGGGGCTAGACGGATTGCAGACTTTTCGTGCTATTGACACTCCTGTATAAAACTCTATTACATTACACTAGAGTATATGATGAATCGGAGAAGTTGTAAGTCGTGTGTGTGCGTGTGTGCGTGCACAGTTTGGGGCTGGCGTCAAGCAGACACCTGGACGTAGCAGAAGTGCAAGGCACATTGGACAGGGCTACGTAATCATAGTGAGATGAAGAGGCAACTTCTGTGATGCTGTGCTTCCTGTCATGTGTGCGCGGCATGTGCAATCCTTGCATGAAGCAGCTAGGGACAACAGGCGCCTGAGTTACACACTCTTTTCGTATTTGTGGCCGAGGGGTTCCTGCACGCTCAAATGGCAGGCCCTGCGACGTGCCTGGCGCAGGGCGTGCGTGGTGCCGGAGGTGGGACCGATCCACATAGCCTCATGCATTGTTTGATTAGGCTTTGTGCCGGGCAGATGCAGGGGCCAAAACGAGCATTAGCCTTTTGCGAATATTGAGGGATGCTGAGTTAATTTTAGTCAGCCGGTTCCACAGCATGGGCATCCCGTGGTACCAAGAATTGTTTGGAGTCATGGTATCTGCTGACTGCCGTTAACAATACAAAGGATGATGAAGGGGCCAGAGGTTTTTTCATCGATGTATTTGGCTGGCATTCTGGGTGTGGCCTGTGGTGCCCTGCGCCTTTGCTGGTTGTTTGCACGCCTGCGGACTGCACGTTTTTATGTGGTCATCGTGATCCGGACCATGCATGTCTCTGGACATTTACTGCTTGATTTAGTCGAAGTTTTGGGATGTCGCAACGATCGCCTAACCCGCCTGAGCTGCTGTACGTGGCCATGCCTGTTGAGGCAAGGTTCACCCCAGAGCATACATTTAAGCCCCACTAAACTGAAGAATAGAATCCACTTTATGACCCGTGTCTTGCAGCTATACAAAGCAGGCAACCATTAAAACGATCTGACTACACCTCAGCATATCAGCACAGTGAAGTACTTCAGGCACCACGCAAGATTCTTGCAGTTTATATCGCATAGTGAGCACTAAACCCCAAAACTTCAGAGACTCCAAGCTTCGAGCCCGCAAAGGAAGCCCCAAAAGCCTTAAGGCCTCAGCACCGATGACCCGAATCCTTCAACGCCTAGACACGAAAATGCGTCTGGTTGCGAGTATGGCGATTGTGGTTCAGGTCACTGTGGCCTGCGCTACTGTTCCTCCTAATGCTTGTTGTTGACTTTGGCAAAACTTTGGCATCGCAAGTATGGGTCTTGAACAGCAGCATTTCTGTCAGGGCCGGCACCCGCGCAGGCCCAGCAGGGTAGGGTTAACTGCATTTGCGCATTTTTGGGGTTCAGGGCTGCGGAGGTTCAGAGGATGAAGGCTTTGGCTTTAGCTGCGAAATGCCCAAAACCCAAATCCCCAAACGGATTTTGAACGTGACATAGTGACATACCCCGGGCGGTCTGCACCTGAACTGTGCAATAGGTTCTCGGGCCATCGCGGACCCAAGGTAGAGATGCATTCTTCAGGGAGCAGTTGAATGATGGATTACAGCGTACTGCAGTACATGTTGGTATGTAGGCCATATGTGCTTTTGCGACGGTATATCCTGCTCTAAACCCTAAACCCTTGACTGGAGTGCGGCCTTGTGGTATTACGCTATAGCCTACTGTTGATTGCCTTCACTTACATGCTGATGTGTGTCAATTTGGACGCTGAAACTTGTAGGTTGATTCCTCTGGCTAGCAAATTTCACTTGCCGACGAGGTTGCCTTTACTATATTGCAGCATACTAGAAGAGCACTGTTGCTTCTGCAGCGTGGAACTTGTATGATTGTTACAAAGCATTCGTCATCGTTTGCATGGTTTCAACTGCTTCGTCCGGTCAGGTCTCGAAGTCAAAGCTGGAGTAAGTCGAGTCCCTGCAGTTTAACCTTGGTTCGGAGATTTTACGTCCTTGACCAATGACAGACTCACTCGTTAAGATGCAGAGTGTCCCCCGCATTGCGTCCCTGCTCGGCTTTGCCAGACGTGTCGACTGTCCGTCGAAAGTCTTATGTGAAACCCAGGCGCCGCTGCTGGTCGCAGAGAGGCGCCGGCCACCCGAGGCTGGCCCCTCAATGCTGAAGGACTCACAATAGCCATAATGCAGAAACATCGGCATGTGCTATTGCAAACTATAGTGTACTACCAATTCATACTGTGGTCTCCAGAGCAGTCTTCGGTATATACGTCGACCCTGGACAACTGCGTTCCTGAAGTGGTTCGTTTGAGGGCTTCAGCATCTACAAGCACGTCTGATTATCTATAGTACTACTATATGCCGAGGATTAATGTTACTATACCTGCAGACGAACTGTATGCCATTAGTGCGGCTTTTGGTTTAACTGGTACTAGGCCACGGAGTTCTATGGGCAGGCAATCACACTGAAAACTTCAACCTTTTTTCGCCCGCAAGCAAAGCCCTACACTACAGAAGCCCGTCTGACGTTCCAGCATCGTTCGTGCAGGTCGACAAGGGCCCAGGCACGGCTGTTGATATCGCTGCTGATCGGGGTTGAGCGCCTATACCATAGACATACCCCATAGCCACCCAGCCAGTTGTAGACTCCACACAGTTCGACACAGTGTACAGTGTGACAAAAGAGGCTGATGGCCTGGAGTGGCCGGTCGACCCGGTGGCTGCTCGGCACGTGTTTATGACTTATGGGGCCAGTAGTGTACCAAATATGCAGAAATTTTGAGGCATCTGGGGTGTCGGCACAGGATTCGTTTTCTTCCTTTCCTCTGCAAGGATATTCCACGTAGCAGTGCCTGATGCGGGCGGCAGGTGGCAGAAGCACCCTTGACCTCAACAAAATAACCACCGACTCCCCACCTCAGAACCCCAAATCCCAAAAGCCCCAAGCCCTGAAACCCAAACCCTACAACTTGCAAGCTTCAACCCATCCTTCGAGGCTGGAATTCATGCTGCATTTGTGTTGGGGGAAAAGATCCGCATGCTTGGCTTCAGCACCGCCACCTTGGCCAGTGGTAGAAGTGCTAACGGCAGCGGCAGCAGCAGCAGCAGCAGTCGCAGTAGTACTAGAAGTAGTTTAGTCTTTGCTAGAAGTAGTAGTAGTAGTAGTCGTCGTCGTCGTCGTCGTAGCAGCGGCAGTTGCAGTTGCAGTTGCAGTTGCAGTTGTAGTTGTAGTTGTAGTTATAGTTGTAGTTGTAGTTGTTGTTGTTGTTGTTGTTGTTGTTGTTGTTGCTGCTGTTGTTGTTGTTGTTGTTGGCAGCACGTTCGTCTGCCGCCAGCGGGGTGGAGCAAATTCGGAGCAGGCATGTGCTAAAACTCGAGTTTTGACACATTGGTGCAGCGACAAAAACTTTGAGTTCTTCTTGCGCCTCGATTTTTACAGTGTTTTCGCCAAAAAATTGGCAAAAAACTTGAGATGCACTGTGCAAAAAACATATCAGCTATCCCTTTTGCACCGTTTTCTTCCGATGTTTTCGTCTACGTTGCGCATTTCGCACCGTTTTTCCGGTGTTCTCCTAATTTCCGGTGTGCACTGTGCCGAGACTCGATTTTTCGCACATGCCTGCTTGGACTTCCATGTGTATTTGAGCTCCGTGCAAAATTGGGGAGGGGGAGATGATGACGTCCATGCGAATGCGGATTGTTGTGTTGTCTTTCTGTTGTTGTGCCTTGGTGGGGATGGGGGGTGATGATGACGTCCATGCGAATGCGGTTTGTTCTGTTGTCTTTCTGTTGTTGTGCCTTGGTGGGGATGGGGGGGATGGGGGGGGGGATGTTGACGTCCATGCGAATACGGTTTGTTCTGTTGTCTTTCTGTTGTTGTGCCTTGGTGGGGATGGGGGGTGATGATGACGTCCATGCGAATGCGGTTTGTTCTGTTGTCTTTCTGTTGTTCTGCCTTGGTGGGGATGGGGGGGGGCTGTAGGCCACCCAGAAGCTAAGAAACGAAAATACGGCTGCTCACTGTACAAATGACGCTGATTCTGATGTTGATGCTGTTCTG